AAATCTTACAAAAATAAAAAAATATATTTCTGAAACATTATTTGAGGAAAATTAGCAAATTTAAACTTAAATTAATATGATTTGAAACAAATATTACTTATAGTACAAAATGTTGTATGCAAACATTTCTTTACTAGGGGTCTTGTTTTTGAATGCGTTCATTGATTTATTTACATTAGTTAAGTATAGTGAAGTAGAGGTTAGTTTGAGGTTAATGTTTTTTTCCACTGTAAGGGGGGAAACCCTTAAAATATGTGACCTTTAAATGTTAGATTTATCAATACATCCATACCTCAGAGTACTGCATGTAATCACACATACAAAAACAAATCAAAATTCTTTTAAAAATATTTAGGGTTGTCAGATTGCAATAAGCTTTACAATATACAATTAGGAAATATAGTTTCACTTAATAGCAATATTTTCTAAGAGTTATCTCATTGAAAATAAATTTTAAATGATTTAAAAACTTTATAAATTATTCAATTTAAAATTGTAACAAAAGGAAAACAAATCTTGTAAAAATTTATTTTTCCTTGAAAAATTTTTTCCTTCAGACAATATTGTCTTTAGTATATATTATTCAAAAAAGCAATTAAAAGCTTCTCTAATTAAATAATGTCTTAGTTTTACTGCATTTTTTATTTTTCAATTCAGAACAGATTTTTTGGTAAGAGCGAGTCTGCTTTTGCAAAAAAAAATTGATGATTTAAATTCTTCAAAGAATTCTGCTTCAAAATTAAATTTATTTATGGTTTATATTGAAGTTGTTATGTTATATTATTAATTAAATTGTTATATTTGTTAATCTTCAATCTTATATAGCAAATGAAATATATTCTATGACCATAATAATTTCTATAATAAAGCTCTAAAGAATAGTGGCTATAAATGCCCAAAACTCAATTATATAAAAAATGAAAATGACACCATAGAAAAAATAGAAATAGAAAAATCATTTGGTATACACTCCACTACAACCAAATGGTAAGAAATAAGTTAGGACAAAAATTCCTTGCATTAATTGTTAAACATTTTCCTAGGGAAAATAAACTCAGTACAGTTTTTAATAAAAATACCCTAAAATTAAGTTACAGTTGTACTAAAAACTTAGAAATGATTATTAAAATACATAATTCTAATATCTTAAATAAAGACTTATACCAAAATCAAAAAAATATAGATCCTAAAATAAAAAGAAATGAAGATAAAGAAAAATTATGTAACTATAGAAATCCTCAAAACTATCCTCTTAATAATAAATGCTGTATTGAATCAATAATTTATCAATGCAATATCTCATCTATTGGAGATCCAGACATAGTTAAATTCTATATTGGATGCACAAGGAATGAATTCAAAAGAAGGTGACGCCAACATCAAATGTCCTTTAATAATAATAAATACCGAAATCAAACCCTACCTAAATATTTCTGGCACTTAAAAAACCAATAAAACACCAACAATAAAATGGAAATTAATAAGAAATGCTAGAGCTTGTAGGTCATTAAATGGCCCATGTCCTTTGTGCATACATGAGAAATTAAACATTATTAAGTTTCTGAAAAATTAAAATTTACTAAATCAAAGAAATGAAATTTGCTATTTTTTGTAGGCACTGTCAAATATTTTCCTTAAGTAATAACTAATTTTGAAAAAATAAAATAATAAAGAATAGAGTTGAAACATACATTTTTATATTTGATCATTAATTAGTAATTAAATTCTAATATATTTATTTGTAAAAATACCGTATAGTCAATTTGTTATTAGAAGGTCAAATGGTACTTTAAATCTATAAGAATAAAATTTAATTAATAAGATTTAAGTATTAATAATATGCTTTGCACATATTTAAATGACCCTTTTAGAAAATCTTTATGTATAAAAATATGAATTAAGCGGATGAATAAAAATGCCTAAAATTTTTTATCATTGAAAACCCAGACAACTCACTGAATAAAGTATACATTGTTAACAGACACCCCTACCCCACCTAAACTTAACCTGACTTTGTAAGTAATATATATTGCATGCATATATTGGATACTGTCTAGGTAAATTAAAACCCAGCCACCCCTAAACTAAAATAGATTTTCCTTAACCTTAACAACTCATAATATCAATATTGTCTACACTTATTAATTAAGTAAATTTCTTTGAAAGTTTATTCCTAACATCGCTTGACAATGGAATGAGACTATGGAGATTAAGTTTAATTTTTATAATTAAATTTATAAATTTAGTTTCAGTTTTGAAACCTGGAAATTTTCTGTGTCACAATGAAATCATATTTTTGAAAAGAAAATAATTGTAATATATACTAGCAGCATGGCCCGACATTGCCCATGCTTGATTCAAAAATCGTATGACTCATACAGCAATCGCTATCACTTGACTTAAAATATTTTTGCCTTTCCTTGCCTTTAAAGGAGTGCCCTTTGTCGTGCTGATGTTGCTACATGCCTTACTTCTTGCCTATCTCACACTGCAATTTTTTTCTAAGCTCTATACTAAAGATTAAATCTGTTACGAAAAAAGAACTAAGCAAAATGAACACAAAATGATCAGCTTTAAAAAAGGACTTGTAACTGGAAAAACCAAATGAAAAAGAATATTAACAACAACTACATTTTCACACCCAACCCAGTTCTGCAGAATCAGAATCAACGTTGAGTTTAAGCAAGAGAATGAGCCAATTGGAGATATATGATTTAAATTTTTCCCACTTGTGATGAATGCAGCTATTGATTTTTTTTGCATGCTAGCATGATAGTTAACATTCATGTCAGTCAGCAGTTGGCTCTCACGCTGGCCAATAGAATCTTCCTGTCTATTTGTGGCAGCCAGCAATAGGCTCTCACTCTGGCCAGTAGAAAATGACTGCAAGCTACATGAAAACTGCCGTAGAAGCATGAAAAAATCGATTATTTCCACTATCGATGGGAGTTGGGAAATGCAAAGTCAGTCTTGGCCTTCCCACTAACTTGGAGCATGTGCATGTAAATTTTGGTGCAAATACGTCAAAAATTACGGCCATGCATTCGTTACACACACACACATCCTGCCTTATATATATATATATATATATATATATATATATATATATATTTATGCATCCTGTTGATGTGTATATCTTTTGTCCTCTTAGTTCTCTTATTTTTTATTCATATCTGCTTTATCTGCTTATCACTTTTCATTTTTGCACATTCTCAATAACTTAAATTTGCTTTGTAAAATGTTTGTCAAATTTTAAATAATAAATTTAGACATCAAAACAAAGCTTGACTTAAAGTTTTAGGTAGTTTCAATGTATCTTTTCCAATCTTACTTGTCTGTCTATGTTTTCATCCAAATCTGATAAAAATAGGAATTAGTTTCAGATCCAAGGTAAAGAGACAGATAAAAAATAAAACAGATATAAACAGACTGAGGGAGATTGATCAAGATATAAAAGGATTGAGAAATTGATATGAAGAGATTGAAAGAGATAGACTGAGAAATATAGAGATATAAATAGACTGACAGAAATAGGCTGATATGAATAAACAGAGAGAGATGACTGGTGAGTTGGTTTAGCAGCGTATCAACATCTATAGGTTATTTAATGCTGAAATCTAAATGTTTTGAACAGTAATTTATGACTTCAACTACAGATATTTTGTACATAATTTTATACTTTCTAGGTAAAAGGAAGTTTTTTAGATATATATTTTACAGATCATAAAATTTATTGTTGGTAATTGATGTAATGGAATAACCTGTCACCCCATGAATGACTACACTATAGGTAGTAACTACCTATAAGTATCTGTAAATCAACGAACTACAGAGTCTAGCTGCAACCTGTTTCAGCTAGACAGTTGAACTCTGTACCTTCAAGCAGAGAGGAACCCGGATGAAGCTCCGCCGAAGGGCTGAGTCTTGTTTGGTGAGGTAGACTGACCCTGAACCCATTTATGCGGGTTCAAAAAGGGAATATTTTTGGCTGAGTCTACGGGCTCAGAAAACCCATGTTAAGCCAGCCTTGTGCCACATGCAACCCTCGTTGGGTGGGGGGAGCTAAATATACTAGCTGCAACCTGTTCCAGCTAGATAGTTGAACTCTGTGCCTTCAGGCAGAGAGGAACCTGGACGAGGCTCCGCCGAAGGGCAGAGTCTTGTTTGGGGAGGTAGACTGACCCCGAACCCATTTATGCAGGTTCAAAAAGGGAATATTTTTGGCTGAGCCTATGGGCTCGGAAAACCCACGTTAAACTGGCCTTGTGCCACATGCAACCCTGTGGTGGGGTAGCTAAATATACTAGCTGGGATCTTTTGAGTATGACTCAGAATTACACGAGAACTACCGACCTTCTAATAGTAGCACTCACTACGGTATTGACTTGCAACGACCTTGTGCATAACTGTTACCTTTATTCTTATTGTAGTGGTTTTTTACAATAAATCTTTACTTATTTTATCCACCATGTTTGTCAAGTATATATTCCTATTAGCATGAAATATAACAGTAATTTTACCATAAAAATGTATTTATATATTTTTTAGCATTGCATTGTCATTTTGCTATAAAAATATATTGTTGGTCATTTTATTTTAAAAATGTCCTGTTGATTTTTATTTGAAAGTTCACTTTTTTGGCCATAGCTGTGACCCTAACACATGCTACCAACCCAGGTCAGGGTGGATCTGGGAACAACAGCAGCTTCAAAAGCTCCATTCTTCTGACCAGAGGCCTTGCTGCTAGATCTGGTTTATCATCATACCCAGGATAAGAAAGGGATAGACAGATAGATATGAATAAACGGAGAGAGAAAAATTGAGATAGCTATAAACAGATAATCTAAGAGAGATTGACTATAAATGGACATAGAAACAGAGATAGATATGACCAGACTGAGAGAGATAGACTTAGATATAAAAAAAAATCCAAAAGATCAGCAATGATATAAATAGACAGAGATAGCTTTAAACAGAGTAAGAGAGATAGACTGGGATAGCTATGAATAGAGTGAGAGAGAGAGATATGAATAGAGCGAGAGAGATAGATTCAGATAGATATGAATGGAGTGAGAGAGATAGACTGAGATATGAACAGAGAGAAATAGACTGAGATAGATATGATTAGACTGAGAAATTTACTGAGATAGATATGTATAGACTGAGAGGGATAGACTGAGATGGATATGAATAGAGTGAGAGAGATAGATATGAATAGAGTGAGATAGATAGATTGAGATAGATATAAATAGACTGAAAGAAATAGACTGAGATAGATATGAATAGAGTGACAGACTGAGATAGATATGAATAGATTGAGAGAGATAGACTGAAAGAGATATGAATAGAGTGAGAGAGATAGATATGAATAGATTGAGAGAGATAAATATAAATAGAGTGAGAGTGATAGACTGAGATATGAACAGAGTGAGAGAGATAGACTGAAATAGATATGATTAGACAAAGAGATCGACTGAGATAGATATGTATAGACTGAGAGAGATAGACTGAGATAGATATGAATAGAGTGAGAAAGACGGACTGAAATAGATATGAATAGAGTGAGAGAGATAAATATGAATATACTATATGAATAGTTCGACTGAGATAGATATGAATAGAGTGAGAAAGATTGACCGAGATAGTTACGAATATAGAGAGAGATATAGATGTGAATAGAATGAGAGAGATAGATTGAGATAGATATGTTTAGACTGAGAGAGATTGACTGAGGTAGATATGAATAGACTGAGAGAGATTGACTGAGATAAATAAGAATAAACTGAGAGAGATAGACTGAGATATGAATAGAGTGAGAGAGATAGATTGAGATAGATATGATTAAACTGAGAGAGATATGAATAGGATGAGAGAGATAGACTGAGATATGAATAAAGTGAGAGAGATAGTAGATTGAGATATGATTAGATTGAGAGAGATTGACTGAAATAGATATGAATAGACTGAGAGAGCTCAACTGAGATAGATTAAGAATAGACTGAGAGAGATAGACTGAGATAGATATGATTAGACTGAGAGAGATTGACTGAAATAGATATGAATAGACTTAGAGAGATAAACTGAGATATATATGAATAGACTGAGAGAGATAGACTGAGATAGATATGAATAGACTGAGAGAGATAGACTGAGATATGAATAAAGTGAGAGAGATAGACTGAGATAGATATGAATAGACTGAGAGAGATAGACTGAGATAGATATAAATCGAATGAGAGATATATATAAACAAACCCAAGTGATGGGCAAAGATATAATTAAATTGGGATGAATATAAACAGGCTGAGTAATGCACTGTCATAACTCTTGATTATATATTTATTAAGAAAGGCATTATGTTTTCATATATTGTACATGTCTTTATTGTTCTATAGCATTATCATAGGTATTCATAGATTTTAATGCAGTTTATTTTTACAGTTCAGTGTCCTTCCTGCTATTTGAAAATTTCTATTGTCTTGCCTTCTGGGGAATTGAGGCTTTGACCTTTTGTGTTCCAGTCTCATTCTCTACCCACTCCCTTGCTCCTCTTTTAGCATACATCTGCTTGCTGTCCTTGTCATAATAAAAAAGACTCACCTTTTTGGCACTAGATAGCCAGCCTTTAAGCTTCTGCTTTTTATTTTAATATTCTATTCATGTATGACATTTTAGGAACATTATAAGCAAGCTGTTAGTTTTGGAAATGATTTTTTTTGTTTTATTATATCAACTTGTATGATAAGGTGACCGTGGGAGATTTTTTGGTCTGTTTTTAATCAAGGACCTTTTAAAATCCACTTCCACTTAACCAAGCTCTTCAAAGCTTTACCAGAATTTTGTTAAAAATACAACCAAATAGACCTTTATATGCAACAATGGTCACAAACTGGCAAACTGCTTTGACTGGCTGGCAAACTAGGTGAGGGTAGTGAACTAGTTCAAACCCTTGATAATTTTGGATCTAGCAGAAGACTGATTCCTGGTGCAAGTGGGAAGATGAGATCTCCTACAGGTCTGATGGCCATAAAGGTGCCGTAAGCAAGTACGGCAAAGTGCGTCAGGGAATGGATCTCATGTAGAAATCTTGGTCATCTACTGCAGCCTGGAAGTCTACTGTTGTAATGGTTCCTCGTGCCACTAAATAAGAACTCTCCAGGTGGAGAGATTGGGATTACCCATTGCAGCAACTTTCTCACCTATAAATTTTTCCTGCATATGTCTGTTTTGTAAATTCATTCAGAGGAATCAATTGATGAATTGCAAGTTTTTTTTGAACCTGAATGACAATCAACATTTGCACATCTTTTTATAATTGAAGATACTGTGTAATATTTTGAATTCAGAGAACAAGATCAAGGCATCTGGAGATGTCTATTGACATTACATTTGAATATTTGGAGATTATAGCTATCAGGGAAGCAAGTAAGAGGAAGGAAGTTCCACAGAGGGGAAGTGTGAGATAAGAAGTTGTGTTGAAACTTCCAGGCTGTTCAAGAATAAAGTCTACAGCGTAAAACATAGAATAATTTCAGTGAATTTGTGAAGAATAATGATTTATGTTTAATAATGTTTACTTATAATACCTGTGTGGTTGTATAGATGTTTAAGAATGATGAGGTAAACATATCTTGCAGTGAGCAAAGTCAGAAAGGCTGAATTTGTTACAAAATTTTTCACACTCTCATAAAGGTAATTGCACTTAAACTTCTTGAGTAAACATTAAGGCCAAGATTCTGTCATGCACTCAAATATGATATCAATATAAACAGTCATGAAAGGGAAAATCTGGTTGAAATATAGTTTAAAGAATTCTCCACCTGTACATCTTTCTTATGCCAAATGATCCTGGCATTGTTTTGTCAACAAAAATACCAGCATAAAAGAGACAAGAAAGACATAGAATATCAGTCTTTCGGTAATTACTGTTATTTAGATTATGAATAAAATTTTTCCTTGGCCTTTCAAGGAAAGAGATTGTAAGTTAATCTGTCAATTTTTTTTTTACCTTAACTTGTGAAAATTTACTACCCAAATGATTAGCTTTCAAAAACATTTTAATTGTCACGTAAAGAAAAATATATGTATATATATATATATATATATATATATAATTAATAAACAATAAAATCCAAAATCACCTCATATATAAAATAGCCTGTTTTGGCAGACAAAGATATTGGTCGTCTGTTTTATCAACTCTGATGTGGACTGAGTTAGTGCCAGAAATAGAAATTTAATTATAAAAAAAAAAAACAGTTGAAAAATTAATACAGAATTTGTCCATTTCAATGTTTCAGTCAGATGAAAGGCACAAGATAGAGGTCAGGGAAAGGTGGAAGGTATTTGTCTTTTAAAGAGAAGAAAATTAAACCCTAATATTAGCCTTATGAGATTAATTTAGGGTTATATGATGAATGAAAGATTAATTTAAAATTAAAAGAAGAATAAAAAGGGGTTTAAAAATAATGTTGAATATATAACTAATTCTAATTTCTATATTTCCCTCCGTCTATAACCTCTTTACCTATATTTATTATAATTTATAAACTTTCCCCTCCTCTAAAATCTCCCCAACTCTCTTTCCATTAATCACTTACATCCTTTTATCTATATATTTTAAATTTATTTTTAAACCCCCTTTTTATTCCTCTTTTAATTTGAAATTAATATTTCATTCTTCATATAACCCCAAATTAATGTCATAAGGTTAATATTTGGGTTTAATTTTATAAAACTTCTTTCCTTTAAGCAAATACCATCCACCCTCTCCTGAACCCTGTCTCATGCCTTTCGTCTGACTGAAACATTGAAATTGATAAATTCTGTATTAGATTTTCAATCGTATTTTTTTTTCAGCTTTCACAGTTAAATTTCTTTGTGACACAAACTCAGTCCACACCAATATTTCTTATTACTATAAATTTTATTTTAATGGGTACACATGTTTGAAGAGACACACTCTTCATCTAGTAACAGTGAAATTAATGTCTACCGGTCTAGATCATTGAAAATCTTATTAAAAAGAATGTATCTCTTGGCAGAGAGCAAACCTGCAGTCCCTTTTTTCTGGGAAACTACCTCAGCTAGTCATGCCAGATAAAAAGGTGGTTTCCTCCAAAAACTGGAACATGGGTTTGATTTCTGCTAAGAGGTATATTTTCTTTTGATAAGACTTTCAGTGATCTAGGCTGGTAGACAGTAATTTCACTGTAATTAAACAGAAATGTCTATCTCTCTTTCTCATATACATAATATAAAATTTAAATTCCAACCTATCTACCAGTCTATCTATTTCTCTCTTTCTCTTAGATATATGTGTAAAAAGAGTAACTGAATTTGAAGATACCTTAAAAAAAGCTTTAATGTACAAAGTGACCTGTAACAGAATTAACACCAAATGCTTGAAAACCAAAGCCCAGAGAGGTAACATGTATGTCAGCCCATAATGTTCCAGTCAAGGGAGGTAATAAGTTCATAAAGCATTCCAATTAATGGAATTAATTAAAATATATATGTATGTATGTTATCTTAAGCTCTATATAAAATAATTACTTGCCTTTTTACTTATATTTATCTTGTCTTTAAGTGGTCTTGTTATCTCTTTGAATGTATCCCCACCCTAAATATCACTTAACTCCAGTCTTCTCTCTGCAATTGAATCACTAATTAAACAGTTGATTTTTATCATAAGGAACCTGAAATAATTCAAGACAATGTCAAGGAGAGTAAATCATTTCTAATTTCATGTTATCATAATTTTGTAATTCTTCACATAACTAAAGATGAAACATTCTCTTATTCATATATCACCTGATGATGGATGGAAAATTACCTATCTGAACAATATGAACCAATGGATTGCATGGATGACTAATCTAAATAAATCAGCAGTTCTTAGCCAGTTGTAGAGATATACCCTGGGGAGATAAGACTGGATACTTTCTTACTCTTCGCCTTCCTCGTTTTTTTTCATAGCATTATTTTTATCTTATGATTGAATACAAAAGAAGCAGAGAATTCTTCTGATAACAAAGAATTGGTACTGGAAACGATAAGTGTTAGAGAAAAAGAGAAAATAAAGAGGGAGATAATTTCGACAAAATCTCAGGAACACATACTTATTTAACTGAAATATTCATATGAACATTTTTCATACCAATCCAAAAAAATCATATCTATCTATCTATCTATCTATCTATCTATCTATCTATCTATGGTCATACCTAACTAGGTAGCTATGTTTATTCAAAATTATATATGTTCATATTAATATAAAATTCAATGTGAACCTTGTTGTCACATTAACTTTCAAAATCTATCTATCTATCTATCTATCTATCTATCTATCTATCTATCTAAATCTATTCCTATCTACCTCAGTTTGTTTCTGTCCCTTTATCTCAATCTATCTATCTATCTATCTATCTATCTATCTATCTATCTATCTATCTATCTAACAGCATATCAGTTCTTAGAACTAAACAGCCAAACTACTCACATAGATGATTTGATCATTGTGGTGAAGACTTGTGCAGAACCAACCCCATTTTTGAAAGAGCTGAATACAGAGAACTGGTGCACATAGTGTGCTACAAGGTCCCTAAATGATCATTGCTAGGTTTTGAATTTAGAAATGTTCTTCTCCTAGACTAGTTTCCACACAAGGCTATAGAAACCAGTTTGTACTGCCATTTTACCCATAGCTGAGGGGCGATAAGAGATGAATTCATATCTTTCCCAAGGATATTGGCACATAAGTGAATGTAACAAACTCAACCAGAATTCAAACTCAGTTCTCTGATTCCTCAATCTGAGCCACTATCCATTACTCCACTGTGCATCATATCACTCTCTCACACTCACTCACTCACTCTCTCTCTCTCTCTCTCTCTCTCTATATATATATATATATATATATATATATATATATATATATATATATATATATATATATATATATATATATATATATTATAAAATATAAGTGAAGTAAAATCCATGTGCAATAAACTACTCGGATTTCAACCATATGGTCTCTTCAGGGCTGTTACTTGTTGATGGTTAATCTGTAACACTATTCATGCCCACTTAAATAAATTAACAAAGTGCCACAAATCAGATATATCAGGTGGGGAGGGGTAAGGGCCTGTATTAGCTCAGAGTATATTTACTGGTATGTCTACATTTCAACATTACTTTCATTGGTTTAACAGGTTGGTCTTGTCTGGGTATATCACTATAGCCAGCTTTTCTTCCAGACTGAGGCTACAAATATTATCAATACATCTTTAAGGCTTAACTATATATATATATATATATATATATATATATATATATATAAATATATGTGGTAACGTGGTAGACCTAGACCAATGAGAGTGTGTGTACATGTCTACATGTGTGTGTGAGAAAGTGTAAGTTTTTCTGATGGGGCAGATGGCTGATTGGAAAAGTGTCAAGACCACCCCCACCTGTTCCTTATTGAGAGAACATTGCTGCATATATAAATGCTGCAGTCTTGACACCAAAATAGAATGACAATTGCATATATATGTATGCTCAAATGCAGCATAACCTTGGCTTGTTTATATGAGTGTGTTTGTGTGAAGTAAAATACATCCATCTGTACAAATGTGTGTCTATGTATGTATATATATATATATATATATATATATATATATATATATATATATATATATATATATATCTTAAACATCATTTTAGTGGATACCTATATTTGAGTAGATGCTCCAATTCTATTTTTAACAGTATATTTATTATTGTCTTCAAGTAATAAAAATATGTATGTGTATATATATATATATATATATATATATTTAAGTTATGAAGAACTTGGTAATCCGTATGGATAATCCCAAGGAGGATGAAATCCTGAGAGCTCAATGTAAATCAGAGCTAATATTTAAAAAAAAACAGACCACTTTAAGGTACCATTATAAATAAGTTATTTCACCCAGAGTCCTTTTAAAAAACATGATCATCAGATAGCACTTCCAAAAAAGTGATTTTTGAAGTGCTATCTGATGATCCGCATCCTTTAAAAGGACTCTGGTGAAATAACTTATTATAATGGTACCTTAAAGTGGTCTGTTTTTCTTTTAAATATATATATATATATATATATATATATATAGCATTAATGAAAATGTAAAATTTGTCACTTAGCTGATGGATGTTATATCCAGAGTTTCATC